GGCGGGCTGGGCGGCGGCGCGACCGGGCGGCGGCGGCTCGGCTAGGCAGGGCGGGCGGCGGCGCGGCCGGGCGGCAGAAGGGGTGAGGGGTCGGGGCGGCTCGGGCTGGGAGAGAGGGAATGGACAGATCGGGCGCGGCCCCTTATCTGCTAGGTCATAGCTCTTTGTCGTCTGTCAGCAGACGGCAAAGAGCGTACCTAGTGGGGTGGGGCCGGGGGGAAACGGGCGAACTAACAACCACCTTCTTTGCTGTCAGCTGGCAGATGATAAAAATGTTTTGTCGTCAGCCAGCAGACGGCAAAGAAGATGTCTGTTAGTTCACCCCGCTACGACTGCCACCCACCCTCTTTGCCGTCAGCTAGCGGATGGCAAAGATATGCTGATGGCAAAGCCATCCTTTGCCATCCAGTAGTGTTAGTATTTATTTTCTGATGGCAAAGAAGTGGTTGACGACAAGGAAGTGGATTCCAGTAGTGTTAGTATTTATTTTTTTACCACTTCTTTCATCTTAGAATTTAACCGTCGTTGGTGATCAACAACCGGTTTCGTGTCTTTCTCCAATTTTATTTTGTGTTGGCATAGAGTGGGACTAATGCCCTTAAGATCATCAAGAGTATATCCAATAGCAGCACGGTGCTTCTTCAGAGTTTTCAATAATTTCTTTTCTTCATGCTCTGAAAGGTTAGCACTAATAATAACAGGATATATCTCTTCCTCATCAAGATTAGCATATTAAGAGTATCAGGCAAAGGTTTAAGCTCAAACACGTGGTCACCCTTGGGTGGAGGAGGGTCCCCTAAAATTTCAACAGACAAGTTATGTTTTAGAATAGGTCCCTGTTTAAAGAATACTTCATCTATTTCTCTTTTTTCATTCATAAACATATCATTTTCATGGTGTAGCAAATATTGTTGAAAGGGTCATCAGGAGGCATGGCAATAGAAGCAAGACCAATAATTTCATCTTTACTAGGCAATTCTTTATCATGGGGTTGTCTACAAAATTTAACAAAATTAAACTCATGAGACATATCCCCCAAACCAATAGTAACAACATGCTTTTTGCAGTCTATCTTAGCATTTATCTATTATATAATTAAAACAAGAGACAAATAAGCCACCACGTTCATCCACATAGATTAAATTATAAGAGCCATTAAATTTAAGAGATAAGCGGCTCAGATATAAAGATATAGCGTTACATACAATTATGTACATGTATTATTTTGAACATATGATGTGTCACGTCTCACGTACATGTTTTTTTTTGGAGGTTGTCACGTACAAAGTGATGGAAAAGTGCAACCACAAACGTGCGTGAGAAGGAGACTACAAAGATTACATGCCATCATCACGTAATCAATTCCGTTTTCAATTAGAAAACGGACAGAAAAAGTAATAGGCAATCACGATGTACATGGCCAACCTGACACAAATATCGGCCCAGTTCACATTCCAGATAGGCCTACCCCAAAAAAGAGGTTTGTCTGAAAAAATTGAGATCATATAAACATTAAAAGGCTAAAAAAAATACATCCAACCAATTGATAGATAACTTTTATCTTACCAGATGAATAAATAATAAATTTTATCTATGAAATCAAAAAAAGGAAAAATGTGTTCATTCATATAAATTAAATTATCATGGTTGTTAATTTTAGACATTTGAGGTGTAAATTGTTCAACAAGCTAATCTATCTAAAATTATGCATTAGTCCATCATGGGAAGATAGCAACTATATCTCTACTCAAATTATATGAAAAAATTGAACATAGAAGTGTACGTGCATAGCAAGGGGAGTGGGCCAAAGAGAACACTAAATTATTTCCTGCAGAAAGGTTGACTCACATCCTAATTTTATTTGCCTACTTCGAAATGTACCAAAATAATTTAAAAACACGCTGACGTTTGACGTGATCACTGCAACTTCATACTCCACTGAGAAGGACATGTATTTTTGTTAAAAACTTCTGTTCCACATTGACCGTGTGACATGTGCAAATACAATAGACTATCTCAATAAATTAGAAAAATGAATCGCAATATTTATTTATAAAGCTGAATTGTGTACTATGGAATTAAAAAGGTTTTTTTCTCTAATTTTTGGGACAAGTGCATGTGAAAGCCACAAAACCCAAATTTGCGAACAAAAAGGTTAATTTTGTATATGATAGGATTTATTGGAAAATATTGATAAATTTACAAAAATATAGAAATTTAATTTGTTGTACGCAAATAAGTTTGATTTTCTTTAAGACATAAATATAGCATACAATCTAATATAGAATTATATTTAATTTGGATTAAATAAACGCAATATATATTAAAGAAATTTATTATAATAAAATCAACAATTTGTTTGTACTATATCATATACAATAGGTAGCACTAGAGTCTACAAGTTATATTTCTAAATTTAACATTAACATGCATCAATTGTATCAAGATGCATGGGTGTCGCACTTAGATATATAAAAATGATATGTTTTAGGTACATGAAATAAGGATATGGGGCTAGCATGAAAAAACCAAGCGGCGAAAAAGAGGGAATGAGATGAATAATCTCCAAGTGACACACATTGGCGTGTCTTCGCTGCCAGTTTAATATAATATTTTTGAGACAATTATATTTTATAATAATATATTTAATGATGAATAAAAATAATATTATATAATGCGTACCGCAACAAGTAACATGAAATAACAATTGACCATGAGAGCAAATAACTCGAGAGATAAATAATAGTACGTACAACAATGTATGGAAAATCTAGCGCACAGATGCGCAGGTCATTCTTTTAATCAAACAACGTCTTGAAAATTTCAGATGGAGAGTGGAGCGACGAAGAGAAACAAACACAACACAAATTGGGTGTCTCTATGGTGACACAACCTGATCAATGGAACAGTGGAAGAAACAGATATACAACTTTTTCACTAGGAGGAGCTTATGCCGCAGTATCTAGAAGGTTGGCAAGAAATAAGAACTACACAGCCGACTTTATGGAGTACTAATATATCTATGAATGAATATTCATAAAAATAATCTAAAAATGACTATGATCTATCCAAAATCAAAAATGCAAATAAAGACATAAGTCGGTATTTCGTGTGAAGCTGGCCTCAAATGCTAATAGTCCATCGGTCCAACCAAATTTCAAATACTATCATTTATAAATGAAACAATGTTCTTGACATATATAATTGCTCCAGTGAATAACTAAAAAAATAGAAGGATGGTAGATATTAAAGAAAAGAACTAATCACAAAATCTGTTTTTCAAAATCTATCTTTCAAAATATATATCTTTCAAAGATTCACTAAAAAGACAGTTGGCGGGTCTCTTTGTATGTCTTGTCCGGAAAGAGGAGGACTTAATGATTATTCGTTCGCCGGAACCAGAAGTAAAAATTGTTGTGGATAGGGATCCTGTAAAAAACATCTTTTGAGGAATGGGCCAGACCCGGCCATTTCTCAAGAACACTAGCTAAGGGCCCTGATACTACCACTTGGATCTGGAGCCTACATGCTGATGCTCACCATTTCGATAGTCATACTGGTGATTTGGAGGAGATTTCTCGAAAAGTATCTAGTGCTCATTTCGGGCAACTTTCCATTATCTTTCTTTGGTAGAGTGGCATGTACTTTCATGGCGCCCGTTTTTCCAATTATGAAGCATGGCTAAGTGTTCCTACTCACATTGGACCCAGTGCTCAGGTAGTTTGGCCTATAGTAGGGCAAGAAATATTGAATGGTGATGTAGGTGGGGGTTTCCGAGGAATCCAAATAACCTCTAGTTTTTTTCAGCTTTGGCGAGCATCTGGAATAACTAGTGAATTACAACTCTATTGTACTGCAATTGGTGCATTGATTTTTGCAGCGTTAATGCTTTTTGCTGGTTGGTTCCATTATCACAAAGCCGCTCCCAAATTGGCCTGGTTCCAAGATGTAGAATCCATGTTGAATCACCACTTAGCGGGATTATTAGGACTTGGGTCTCTTTCTTGGGCGGGGCACCAAATTCATGTATCTTTACCAATTAACCAATTTCTTGACGCTGGGGTGGATCCTAAAGAGATACCACTTCCCCATGAATTTATCTTGAATCGGGACCTTTTGGCTCAGCTTTATCCTAGTTTTGCCGAAGGAGCAACCCCTTTTTCACTTTAAATTGGTCCAAATACGCAGAATTTCTGACTTTTCGCGGAGGACTAGATCCAGTAACCGGTGGTCTCTGGCTGGCCGATATTGCGCACCATCATTTAGCTATTGCTATTATTTTCCTAATCGGAGATCATATGTATAGGACCAATTGGGGTATTGGCGATGGACTTAAAGATATTTTGGAGGCTCACAAGGGCCCATTTACAGGACAAGGCCATAAGGATCTTTATGAAATCTTAACAATGTCATGGCATGCTCAATTATCTCTTAACCTAGCTATGCTAGGCTGTACAACCATTGTTGTAGCTCATCATATGTATTCTATGCCTCCCTATCCATACCTAGCTACTGACTATGGTGCACAACTTTCCTTGTTCACACACCACATGTGGATTGGCGGATTTCTAATAGTCGGTGCTGCTGCACATGTAGCAATATTTATGGTAAGAGACTATGATCCAACTACTCGATACAACGATCTATTAGATCACGTCCTTAGACACCACGATGCAATCATATCCCACCTTAACTGGGTATGTATATTTCTAGGTTTTCACAGTTTTGGCTTGTACATTCATAATGATACCATGAGTGCTTTAGGCCGTCCACAAGATATGTTTTCGGATACTGCCATACAATTACAACATATCTTTGCTCAATGGGTACAAAATATCCATGCTACTGCGCCTCGCGTAACAGCTCCTGGTGCAACAACAAGTACTAGCTTAACGTGGGGGGCGGCGAGTTAGTAGCAGTAGGTGGCAAAGTGGCTTTGTTACCTATTCCATTAGGAACCGCAGATTTTTTAGTCCATCACATTCATGCATTTACCATACATGTAATTGTATTAATACTTTTGAAAGGTGTTTTATTTGCTCAGAGTTCCCGTTTGATACTCGATAAAGCAAATCTAGGTTTTCGCTTTCCTTGCGATGGGCCTGGCCAATGGGGTTCAAGAAGGGTCTACCAAATATAATGAGACAAAAGTCATCTTGTAGGGAATCAAGAACAAGAAAATCAGTAGGATATTTAACTTTCCCACACAAGACTTCAACATCTCTAAAAATCCCAACTGGTGAAATAGTGTCTCTATTGGCCAGCTTAATTGTAACATCAATTTCCTCTATCTCAGCAGGTGCAATATCATGCATAATTTCTTTGTATAAGGAATGAGGTATTGCACTTGCACTAGCACCCATATCACATAAGCCATGATAGCAATGATCTCCTATTTTAACAGAAATAACAGGCATACCTACAACAGGTCTATGTTTATTTTTAGTATCGGGTTTAGCAATTCTAGCAGCTTCATCATAGAAGTAAATAACATGCCCATCAATATTATCAGCCAAGAGATCTTTAACCATAGCTATACTAGGTTCAACTTTAATTTGCTCAGAGGGAGTAGATGTTCTAGTATTACTCTTATGAACTACAGTTGAAACTTTAGCATGATCCTTTATTCTAACAGGGAAAGGTGGTTTCTCAATATAAGTAGTAGGAACAACAGGATCATTATAAGTAATAGTCTTTTCTTCAACTTTAATAGGTCCAACAACTTTTACTTCAATGGGAGGATTATATTTAAATCACTTCTCCTTAGGGAGATCAACATGAGTAGCGAAGGATTCACAGAAAGAAGCTACTATCTCAGAGTCAAGTCCATATTTAGTGCTAAATTCACGGAAAGCATCGATATCCATAAAAGATTTAACACAATCAAACTTAGGTGTTATACCTGACTCCTTACCTTCGTCGAGATCCCAATCTTCGGAGTTGCGTTTAACTCTTTCCAATAAATCCCATTTGAATTCAATAGTCTTCATCATGAAAGAGCCAGTACAAGAAGTATCGAGCATGGAGCGATTATCGAGAGAAAGACGAGCATAAAAATTTTGAATAATAATTTCTCTTGAGAGCTAATGATTGGGCATGAATATAACATTGACTTAAGCCTCCCCCAAGCTTGAGTAATGCTTTTTCCTTCGCGAGGCCAAAAATTATATATATAATTATGATCACGATGAACAAGATGCATAGAATAAAACTTCTGATGAAATTCCAATTTCAATCGGTTGTAGTTCCATGATCCCATATCATCACATAGCCTAAACCATGTCAATGCATTTCCCTTCAAATATAAAGGGAAAACCTTCTTCTTGATTGTCGGGGATATACCCCGCGGCGTAACCCAGCCGGAAGGATAACCCGGTCGGACTTGGCGACTCACCAGAGACCCAGCTGATACTTGGTGTTTCATTTGTAAGCTACCCGGAGATTGCCGCTCACTGGTAACCTGGAGGGCGGGACAGACGAATGATAAGGCCTAGAAGACCGGTTTATGTTAATGGTGGGCCGGTTTATGAGGAAAGGCGTGAGGAATATTTACCTTACAAGGAGTTAAGATCCAGAACTGTATCCAATTTGTATTACAAGGTAGACTAGTCCTAGTCCTAATAGGACTCCACATGTAACCCGCCCATCTAACTTATATAAGGAGGGGCATGGCTCCTCAAAGAGGGGGGAAAGAAATAATATTAGGGCTAGACATAACTAGGAGAGCCAGTTTACGGCGACTCCCTCATGACGATAATAAGACCTAGCCACAAACAGTATGTAGGGTTGTTACCGGATGATGTTTCCTTGGGCCCGAAGCTTTCTAAATCCTTGTCTTGTGTGTTGATCCGCCTCACGTCTCTCGATTCCAACCAACCCCTTCAAGCTACCGCATAGATGCATTGGCTTCATGACTAAGTCCTCGCACTAGGACATCTGTCGAGACAATTCCATGACAGTTGGCGCCTACCGTGGGGCTTGCGCACGGTGGTGCTGAGTTCTTGAAGGGATTTCTCCGAGGGATCGAAGAAGCGTGCAGTTGATCGGATAAAGAAGAGCCAGCGCAAAAAGATTCACGTCGTCTTCAAGTTCATCAATCAAGATAAGAAAAAAATATAGGCGAAAGGATGCAATCTGTCCGCCGCCACAATCTCATGATCCGGCATATCACAGTTGTTTTTTTCTGCGGACATAATCCGCCAAGACCAAAGAAAAGTCAATCTCCATGGTTGTGTTATCCAACAACGGCACACGAGTCCTGAGAAGATTCATAGCGGCGGCAGCAAGCAGAACCAAAAGAGGTTTTGTCATTGATGTTTTCTGTGAGAAGGAAGAAATTGTTTAATCAGACTAGAGTGAGTACTAGTGCACGGAAGAATCAATCAGCAAGTCACGTCAATGTGCAGTAGAAAATACGTCAAGCCGGCGTCAAGTCAAGATCGATCTGGCAGGAGGCCTCGTCTGGCAGTACTACTTTTTCACAAAAGTGAAATCTGGCCCGTGAAAAAAAAGGGGAAGGAAATCCACGACCCGAAGGGGGACGTGGGACACGGACTCGGTTTTGCCTCGCTGGCTTAACATGGGACATGGAATCGGTTTCGCCTCGCTAGCCACCGCACCGGCCTCGCCTCCACCTCTACCGCACGTCGCCCGCGGTCTTGAGTCGCCCGCCTCCGTGGCTGGCCTCGCTCTCGCCCTCACCCAGTCCCCAGGCTAAGTTCGCCTCCGCTGCTACTGACCCGGCCCTTAAAGAGCTTGAGGCGGCCCGTGTCAGTACATGTGGCCTTGGTGCACGAGGTCAGCGATCACCGGTGAATCGGCCGGAAGCCAGTAGCACCAGGATAGTATGTGCATGTCTGTTGCTACTACCTCAACCAAGGCACACATGTCATCCCCCAAGGAAAAAGAACAAAAATAACCATGAAGAAGAAATCGGATTATTCAAAGTCGCTGCCTACGGACGTAAGTAGGTGCACTCGTCTCCGTTAAATTGCTCTGTGTATTAAATTTGCATTATACAAAACATATGTTGTCTGCTCGTGCTATTTTATGCTCACAGATCTATTCAGCTCAAGAGTTTTTGTTGGCGTTTTTTATTGCGTCGTTTCCAACGATCTTCCGAGTCGCCGCTTTGTTGGCCCTGCAGCACTAAAACCACCGGCTGTTATCATCAGATCTGCTCGTTCGCTGGTTCCACTCTGCTACGATGGACCCGTCGCGTTTAAACCGCCGTTGTTAGGGGAACGCTAGCTTCAAGTCCCGAGGAAATCGGTGCCACTGCTACTGTTTCCTGTAGTGGGGGCTAATTAAATCGAAAGAAACAAAGTGCTACTTGCAGACGAAGGCTGGTGTGCTGATTGATGTCTAATCCGGCCGCAGAGATCTAAGAATAAACCAACATGACTAGTGCTGGTACTCCATATTGGGCTGATTTTCTTCGGAGATCAGTTTGTGTAACTTGAATGGAATACACATATGTGGAGACCAGCTACGCGTTAATGGCCACGCCCACATACGTCCAAAAAATAAATCAGGTGTTATTTCTTTTATACATTTTCTTAGTATACTTTAATTACTCTGAGCACAACTACTCTGCTCTATGGTATTTTTTATATGCAGGAGAATTATTCATTACAAAGTGGCATTATACCGCGGAGATGGAGGCGGGCCGACATTGTTCGGCATAGGTTGTTGTTGTTATTCAACCGACTCCCACACCGGCTTACAACACTATGGCCGTCTCTCGTGACCGCACCGGCTTACAATGTCACAGACGACTCGCCCGTCCGCTCTTGCGGCTGGTTCACGCGTCCGCACCGGCTTAAAACGCGGAGGATAACTTGCTCGTCCGCATTGGCTTACAACGCCTCGGCAGACTCATCTGTCTACTTCCGCGGCCGACTCGGCCATGATTGATTTCAGCTTCACCATGTTGATCATCAACCCCGCGGTGGATATTTTCTGGCCTATCATATTAGGTGAAATCCATCCAGTATATTTTTATATTATATATTGCTTTCTTCAAAAGAGCAATTACTCCGGCTTGTAAAGTTATCTAATGCAGGACCCTAAACCGCCATATTGGTGCAAATTTAAAGGAAAATTTCTGGCTTAAAAAGAAGGGTTCCGGTTTAAATCCGGCTCAAAGAAAAGATGTCTCCCACAAAGCA